TGATATTCTATGTTGTACATTAGATTTAAATGAACATATAGTTACATATAAATAACACGTAATTGGAAAAAAAAAATCCCAAATTGTCAATTCAGTTTTCCAGTGGTTCTCACATGCTCTTAGAACAAAGATACAAATAAAAAAAATTAACACAGTTTATATTCTTAGACAGATCTCTCTTTTCTTCTGAGGTCTGTAATTCACAATTAAACATTGGCGTTTCCCCAACTTAAAAGAGTTAGTTTCCTCAAAGCTAGATGAAGCAGTCTGTAGTTTCTGTCTACCAAACAGGCAGACTATCTTTGGGAAACTAGTGAGCATTCCTCTCAGTACTCATTCCTAACAGGCTAAAAATGATCTCTGTATGCTAGAAACCTTTGGCTTATAATCGACACAGTCTGATTGCCATTTCAGTGTTGAATGAAAAGATGTCAAAGGAAACATGGAGTAATGCTTGCCCCTAATGGTCTAAGTACAGCTAAACGTCCTCTATTTTATATATAAGACAAACACAGAGTGTTCCAAAAGGTGGTGAGAGGATGGACTGGCTGGGGCCTAGGAACCTGAGGTACATTACAGCAATTAGTTTCTTGGCATTTCTTTTTGCCTTTTGTATGCCAGACCACATTCCAGAGATTATAACTTAGAATGCCGGATTTTTGAAAGACCCAAGAAAAATTTACCCTTTCTAGCAAAAGGATCAGGAAGGGAGCAGTCCAGCAAGACAGAAAACTTTTAAACAATAGCATCCTATTCCAGCAAAAGAACTCAGGAAAAATATGAAGCCATATCCCTACCAACAAAGACTAGTGGGGAGCCTGCACTATCTACCCTCACCAGACTATAACAGGCTCCTCAACTTCCCACCCTGCTACCACCATGGGTGGGATCAGAGGAAGACCAAGGTGACAGATTTTCAAACCCCTCTCTGGTCTGATCTTTACCCTGGCAGAACAGTAGAGACTCCATGTAGGAACTAGGCCCAGAGAAGTCTCTCTTCAGCTGTACTAATGTCAGTAGAGGCCTAGTAGAGAGTTAGGACTTATACTAATGCCCCATAGTAATGAGGTCACTCCACAACAACCTACAGTGCCAGTGGGAACCATGGTCCTCCCAGCCAGGGTGGCAACAACAGAGGCCTAGTAGGGAGCCATAAATCCCACTTCCACCCAGCAGTATTGAGGATCCCTAGCCTGGTATCAAATAGAGGCCCATGATGTAACTGTACTTTCTCCACCAGAGTGGTGTCAGAGGAGACCTGCCAAAATGGAAGATTTAAAGAGGATACGGAGTCTAATAATACTTGAAATGTCCCAATCAACACAGAATCACTCATCATACCAAGAAACAAGAAAATCTCAACTTGAATGGAAAAATAATTCACAGTTGCCAACACATTGAGATGATGCAGATGTTAGAATTGCCCAATAAGAATTTTAGAGCACAAATTTAAATATGTATAATATATATAAAACATATATATGTATATATATAATATGAACACTGAGAAAAGAAAAAAGAATAATCAAATGGAACTAAATAATACAATTAACTGAAATAAAACTCAATGACAGGTTCAATAGCACAATGGCAAGGGACAGAGGGAAGAACTCTTTGTGAACCTAAAGACAGAATAATAGAAAACATCCAAGTGAACAACAGGTAAAATTACTATGGACTGAATTGTGTCCCCCCAGATTCATTATGTTGACACTCTAACTTCTATATGACAGTATTTGGAGATAGGCTTTTAGGAGGTAATTAAGGTTAAAAGAGGGCATAAACATGCAGTCCAAACTCAATAGAACAGGTGGCCTTACAAGAAGAGAGCTGGCTCTCATCCTACCCACATAGAGGTCAGGGCATATGAGGGCACAATAAGAGGGCAATGTCATCTTCAAGTAAGGAAGACAACTTTCACCAGGAACTAAACCCTGCTGAACCCTGACTTTGGACTTTTAGTCTCCAGAACTGCAAGAAATAAATTTTTGTTGCTTGAGCCACCAAGTCTATTGTACTTTGTGATGGTAACCTGAACAGACTAAGATTTTGGAACCAAAAAGTGGGATGTTGCTGTAACAAATGCCTGAGGTATAGAAATAACTTTGGAACTGGGTAGAAGTTACAAGAGTTTTGAGGTACATACTGGACACATGGAATTTAAAGGCCATTCTGGTGAGGTCTTACGTGGCTATGAGGAACGTGTTACTGGGGCTAGAGGACAGATAATCCTTGGTATAAGGTGGCAAATAACTTTTATGCTAGTATTTTGCAGAAGGTGGAACTTGGGAGTAATGAAATTAGGTATTTAGCAGAGATTTGCAAACAAAGTACTGAAGGTGCAGTTGGGGTTCTTACTGCGTTGAGAGAAGACAAATGAACTAAACAATGGAACGTTAAGCAAGAAGGAACCAGAACTTGGATTTGGGGAATTCTATTTATATGGTGGGGGTCGGGAAGGAGGGAAATTGTTAGGAAATACTAAGGCTGTGGCTGATTAACCATTTGATAAAGAGATCATGGGTGTGCCCCATGGGTTTAACCAGTCTTTTTAACCTTGGCTTCAGCAGGCCAGATGGTCTTCAAACTGAAGACAAGAGGTGAGACTGCCTTGCAGAGCCTTAGGAGTGGGGCCATCTTGGCAGAGCTGAGAGGCAGAGGCAGGATTTTGATTGTAGCAGGTCCAGAAGGCTGTGCATCAAGCAAAAAAGGATTGTTCTCAAGTCTTAAGATCTAATGGAATCTGCCTTGCTAGGTTTTGCCCCATACTAATAGGTAACCCCTACCCCAACCTACAGTGGTAGTGGGAGCCATGTGGGGAGTAGTAGAGATATTCATGGCCCTTGCAGCCAAGGTGGCAACAGCAGAGATCTAGCGGGGAGCTATAAATCCCACCCCAGCCCAACAGTATTGAGGGTCCCTATCCTGGTGTCAATAGAGGCTCATAATGAAACTGAACTAACACAATTTAAAGCAATGAGGCAGCATCCTCTAACCCTTTCTCCACCAGAGTAGTGTCAGAGAAAACTTGCCTTTAAATAGGATACTGAGTCTCATAATGCTTGAAATGTCAGATCAATATAGAATTACTCATTGCTTAGGAAACACCACCCATTCCCTCTATCCTATTTCTCCCCTTTTGGTATGGAATGTCTGTTCTATATCTGTCTCACAATGGTATATTAGAGGTACATAACTTGTTTCATTTCATAGGTTCATGACTATGAAGGAATTTTTCCTCAGGTGAATCATACCTCATATCTCATCCATATCTGATTTCAGTAATATTTAGGTGAAAGTGAGCTTTAGACTTTACAGTTGATGCTAGAATTAGTTAAAAGACTTTTGGAACCATTGAGATGGAACAAATTAAATGTCTTTTCAAGCATGAACATGAGTTTGGTGGGAAGGTACAGGGGTGGAACCGTATGGACTGGGCATGTTGTATGTTGCATGTTAAAGGCCTACCCCTTAATGTGACTTTACTTGGAGATAGGGCTTTCAGGAGCAATTAAGAAGTGAGGTCTTAAGTGTAGGGTTCTAATCCAATAGGACTGGTAGCTTTATAAGAAGCCTGTATTTGCACTAAGGAAAACCCATGTGAAGATCACATGGATGAACCAGGGAGAGAAGCCTAACTAAAAACTGAGAAAGATGACATCCCGATCCTAGGCTCTCCATATTTCTTGAGTCACATAGTCATTGAAATTTTGTTACAGAAGATGGAGCAGACTAAGATAAAAATAGACTGGGAAAAAAAATGAACAGAGTTTCAGAAACTTGTGGGACTACAAGAAAGATCTAACAATTCTGTCATTAAATCCAGAAGGAGAAAAATGTATTACAAAGAAATAATGGCTGAAAACTTCCTAAATTTGGCAAAAGATATAAACACAAATAGATTGAAGAAGCTCAAGAAAACCCAAACAGAAATCCAAAGAAATCCACACCAAGACCCCTCACAGTGAAACCTGAAAATCACACTCACTCAACAATGGTTCCAATAACCTTCAAACTTTCAATTTCAAAAAATATATATACAAAGATGTCATCTGCCTCTACCCAAGAGTAAAATGGAGAAAGGCAAGTATTTCAAAGTCTTTTCAAGTTTTTCATAATCTAATATGCAATGTCAGTGCGAGCCTACAATTAAATTTTAATGTATAAAAAAATTCAAAGTACAAACTACCTACCACTGAGGTAAATCTTTATAAATAACATTCTCAGGAAACTCAGATAGCTCAAAGGTCTCCTCTGTATCCTAACTTTCTAAGGATTTGACCCTTGGGCTTGACATGATTCTTAGTAAGCCACATCTCAATAAGCAAAGCCTGTAGGACAAAAAGTGCAGAAGCAAACTCTAGGCCAACATTCTTCAGCTTCAGGGTAGTTGCCCTCACAGGAACTCTGCAACTGACCAACTAAGAAGTCTAATAGTTTTCCTACTTATGAATACTCAGTAGAGTAGTTATCTTAACTAACACTTCTTCAATTCATTATCCCCAACTCTTTTTCTCTATTCTTTCCATCTATCATCTTTGTGGCCTTGTATTTAAGGCTGAAGAACAACTTCTGTTCCTCCCTCACTCCTGGCTCTGGACAAATTCATTGTGGATTCTCAATCTCTTATTTTTTCCCCTGCAATTTCCCTGAAAGAACCACTAAGCTCTTTAGAACTCTGTCTCTTAGCATTATGAGACTATCTACTCCAGCCAAGATGTTTTCTTTCTACAGTAGCACACATGCCCTACTTCTTTCTCAAGGATTTGGTAGTTTATGTACACATTATGGTGTTAGAAATAAATTTCCTTTTCCTCAGGGAAATTCAGTGTCCTCCATTAGGACATTTTAAAAAAATGCAAAACCACCTTTTCACAGTCTCTGAGAGCTATATTCCACATCAATAATGACATCTCAATAATTTTTTATAAGTCTTAAATTTTTTATAGCCCTCATAGTATGTATGGTAAATGCTCAACAAATACGTTCTGAATGCATATTTATCCAGTGTGGATTCTCTTTTGTTGGCCAAAGGCTGAATACTCACTACAGGCTTGTCCATATTCCTTGATTTTCCCTCCAGCATGAGTTTTCTGATGCTGAGAAAGAGATGAACTCTGGCTGAAGGCTTTTCCACATTCCTTACACTTGTAGGGTTTTTCTCCAGTGTGAGTCTTCTGATGCTTTGTAAGGGATGAGCTCTGGCTGAAAGCTTTCCCACAGTCCTTACATTTATAAGGTTTCTCTCCAGTGTGTGTTCTCTGATGACGAATAAGGGCTGAGCGGTCACTGAAGGCTTTGGCACAATCACTGCACTTATAGGGTTTCTCTCCAGTATGAGTTCTCTGGTGCTGAGTCAGGGCTGAACAGTAGCCAAAGGCTTTCCCACACTCATTACACTCATAAGGCCTCTCCCCAGTATGAGTTCTCTGGTGCTGAATAAGGCCTGAACGGTCGCTAAAGGCTTTGCCACACTCGTTACACTTGTAAGGTTTCTCTCCAGTGTGAATGACCTGATGTTGAGTGAGGAATGTACTTTGGCTGAAAGCCTTCCCACATTCATTACACTCATAAGGTTTCTCTCCAGTGTGAATTCGCTGATGTTGAGTGAGGTATGAACTTTGATTAAAGGCCTTCCCACATTCGTTGCATTCATAAGGCTTCTCTCCAGTATGAATTATGTGATGCCGAATAAGGGCTGAGCGGTGGCTGAAGGCCTTCCCACATTCATGACACTTGTAGGGTTTCTCTCCAGTATGAATTCTCTGATGCAGAGTAAGGTGTATGCTCTGGCTAAAGGCTTTACCACAATCATTACACTTGTAGGGTTTTTCTCCTGTATGAATTCTCTGATGCAAGACAAAAGCTGAGTAGTAACTAAAGGCTTTCTCACACTCATTACACTTCCAAGGTTTCTTTCCTGCACAAATTCTCTCATGCCTAATTATATCTGAATTTTGTTTTAAGTTTTTTTTCAATGAATCACGATTATGAAGTCTCTTTCTTTGTTGTTGAACAAGTAATGACCGCTGACTTAAATTTCTTCTGAATTCATCACATTGGTAATTTCTCTCCCCAGAAAGTTTCTTCTGAGGGACAATCTCTTGTATCAAATGTTTCTCATGGTTTTTCTGTTGGCTTTCTAAAGAGTCTTCACATTCACTGGAACCTTCCACTGGAAACCTTTCTATTAACACGCCAGAGGTTGATTCCTCCTTGGAAAAGTCCTTTTCTGGAGTTAGCTCCTTGCTTTCTGGTATTGTCTCCCAGCCTGAGAGAAGCAAAAATACACAGTTATCATTTCTTATACTGAGAGAAAAATAACTGCAGTGGTAGAGAAATAATAAAATAAACAAAAACATGCTTACAGGAAACACATGAACTTCAAAGCTCTCAAAAATAGCCTTGAGAGGACATGAGAAAACTAAGTAACTGGGCAAAGAAGTACAGTTGTGTGAAGGGAGAAAGTGAGCCTCTATGTTACTAAGTGGGGGATGAAAAAGAATAACAGAACAAGATGAAGCAGAGGTGATTTGGGGAAATGGCAGACAAAAACGGGGTGTGGAGGTAGGACTGAGATCAGAAAAAGATGGTCTCTGAGGATTAGTCACTGTACCATCTCACAGAGCCCCTCCCATGTGCTGCAAGAAAGGTCAAGTTTAGCTGATCTCCTGGCCACTGATTTTTTCCTACTCCATTATGTCTCACTCACTAGTAACAGACTAATTTTTCAAAGCCATGCCTCGTCTACAAAAGTCTCTGTTGATACTGTCTAAAGATGAGACACAAGTTCTACATCTACATATTCAAATTATCATAAAGCTTAGTAGTTAGGAAGCAAATAATCATTTTGCTTAACATTACCCCACATCCAGCAAAATGGAAAGAATCTAGTAGAATAAAACTTTAAAAGAAGAGAACTGGTGGAGTGGCTCAAGTGGTAGAGTGCTTGCCTAGCAAGCATGAAGCCTGAGTTCAAAACCTCAGTGCTGAGATTCCAAGATGGCAGCTAGAGGGAGGAAGCATAAAGCGTGCTTCCTAAAGTAAAATCTTGGAGAGACGCTGGAGATAAACCTTACAGGAAAAACCACCGAGAAGAGGCAAAACTTTGACTTCTCACCACCTCCAGCCTGCGCATAGCCATCTTCACTTCACGTTAAACGGAGAAACAAGGAGGGCTCCCATGCCGTCACCAGACTGCACACCCAGACGGCTTGGAAAGACGCAGACTACAAGCTAAGCGGCATGCGGTACTCCCACAGACAACCCTGGGCCAGATCAGCATAGCCCCATGGACAGACCAACCCCCACCCAGGAAAAAAAGGAAAAAAAATGGAATAATAAGCAGTAACAACAAAAAAGACATGTAGCAAAGACGGTGGGGTGCCCTGAGCGCTGAAGAGGGGTGGAGGGGAAATCCCTCCCAATAAGCTGGCTGGAGAAGGCAGGAGCAATGGCACACGCCCAACAACCAGGAGCAGGAAAGCTTGTAAAAGTGGTGGTGGGAGGAAAACTCCACAGGAGAGGGGGGAAGACCCACTTCCCATGTGAACTGTAAATAAACATGCAGGCCTGAGAAAGCTGGTGCAGTGTCACCTCCCCAAGTGTGCTTGGAAAGGGGAAAGCTTGAAGCAGTGGCAGTCGCGCCCAGGAGAACTCTTAAGTAAACAAAACCTGAAGGGCTAGGTGAGAGTTAAGCTCACTCCTGAGATCTGCATAAATAAAGCCTCCAGCCACAACAGGCTGACAGGAGTGGGCAGGTGAGCCGCAGCCTCAGATAGCCATTCACAGAACAGTCTCCAGACTCTTTTTTTTCTTTCTTCCTTTGATGAGACAACAACCAAACTAAACCTGCATGCTGAAAACCTTACTGAAACTGTATTGCATTTGAATTTGGGACACGTTGTGGTGTTTTTTGGTTTGGTTTGGTTTGGTTTGGTTTTTTTCCCCTTTGATAAGACAATGACAGAACTACTTCTGAGACACCATCTCCAGGACTGGAGGCTGAGGGACTAACACCAAAATTATTAAGACTGAAACTTTATTGCATTTGAACTTGGAGATTTTTTTTTCATTTATTTATTTTTTTTTAATCTCTCTCTGTCTCTCTAATGCCTGTTCAGCTTACTGTCGATTAGTACACTATCTCTCCCTGTTTATATCTTTGAAACATTTTTTTATTTGTTTTTTCCTACTTGTTTGTTTTTCCCCTTTTCTTTAACTTCTTTGCTTTCCATCTCCTCTTACCCTTCCATTCTAAATATCACCATTGTTATTACAAGCTAGAAAATACTTAATTGCACACAGTACAGGGACAATAACAACACCAAGGGCAATGATGGGAAGACAGAAAAAACAGGGAAAATGGATTCACAACAGAAAAAATTACTACAGGAACCAGAGGAAAATGAAGAAAACAGATACTCAGATCCAGACTCCAACAAAATGAAGATAAACTATGCCAAAGAACTCAATGAAGCCCATGAGAACAATCTAAAAGAAGAAATTCTACAGGTACTCAATGAGAATTTTATAGAGATGATACTGGATATGGTCAACCAAAATATACAGGAGACACTCAAGAAATTCCAAGACAACAAAAATAGAGAATTTGGAAAAGCACAGGAAGAAATAAAAGAACCCATAGAAGCACTGTATAAACACGAACTGAAACAAAGAACACGATTAATAAAGAGATAAATGAACTCAGGACAAAAATAGACAACATTAAAGAGGAAATGACTCAGGATAAGGAAAACCTCAGAAAAAAGAACAAAACAGAACCACAAATCAAAACAGAAGGCCAATCCAGCAGAATAGAAAAACAGAAGACAGAATCTAAGAACTTGAAGATGAAATGGTAATTAAAGGAAAAACTGAAGAACTATTAATTAAACAACTCAAGACTTGTGAAAAGAAAATGCAAGAACTCACTGACTCCATCAAAAGACCCAACCTGACAATCATGGGCATTGAAGAAGGAGAAGATGTGCAAGCAAAGAGAATGCGTAATATATTCAACAAAATAATAACAGAAAAATTCCCAAATCCAGAGAAATCTATTCCTATACAGGTGCAAGAGGCCTCCAGAACACCAAACAGACCAGACCAAAATAGATCTACCCCATGGCATATCATCATTAAAACAACAAATACAGAGACCCGAGAAAGAATACTGAAGGCTGTAAGAGAGAACAAATAAATAACATACAAAGGTAAACCCATCAAAATCACAGCAGACTTCTCAACAGAAACATTAAAAGCAAGAAGTGCTTGGGGTGAGATCTTCCGGGCACTGAACGAAAATAATTTCAACTCCAGGATACTCTACCCAGCAAAACTATCATTCAAAATAGATGGAGCAATAAAAGTCTTCCATGATAAGCAGAAACTAAAACAATATGTGACCACAAAGCCACCACTACAAAAGATTCTTCAAGGGATTCTCCACACAGAAAGTGAAACCCAACTTAATCATGAAAGGACAGGCAGCACCAAACCACAGGAAAAGAAAAAGCAAGAAAGTAGAGAGTAACCTCAACTTAGGTACACACAATCAAACCTTCAAACAACTAAGACAACTAAATGACAGGAATCACCACATACCTATCAGTACTAACGCTTAATGTTAACGGACTTAATTCACCCATCAAAAGGCACCATTAGACGAAATGGATTACAAAGGAAGATCCAACAATTTGTTGCTTACAGGAGACCCATCTCACTGACAGAAATAAGCACAGGCTTAGGACGAAAGGCTGGAAGAAGATTTACCAAGCCAACGGCCCCCGAAAACAGGCAGGAGTAGCAATACTTACCTCTGACAAAGTACACTTCAAACCTACATTGATCAAACGAGATAAAGAAGGACATTCCATACTAATAAAAGGGGAAATAGGCCAAAAGGAAATAACAATTATCAACCTATATGCACCCAATGTCAACACGCCCACTTTCATCAAACATACCCTGAAGGACCTAAAAGCATATATTGACTCCAACACAGTGGTTGTGGGAGACTTTAACACCCCATTATCATCAATAGATAGGTCATCCAAACAAAAAATCACTAAAGAAATCCTAGATCTAAAATATACAGTAGATCAAATGGACCTAGTTGATGTCTACAGAACATTTCATCCAACTTCTACACAACATACATTCTTCTCAGCAGCCCATGGAACCTTCTCCAAAATAGATCATACCCTAGGGCACAAAGCAAGCCTCAGCAAATATAAGAAAACAGAAATTATACCATGCATTCTATCTGATCACAATGCAATAAACTAGAACTCAACAACAAAAAAAGACAAAAAACATGCAAACCAGCTGGAAACTGAATAACTCATTGCTTAATGAACAATGAGTCATGATGATAATAAAAGAGGAAATTAAAAGTTCTTGAAGTCAATGAAAATGAAAACACAACCTACCAGAAACCTATGGACACAGCAAGGCAGTCCTGAGAGGAAAGTTTATAGCTATGAGTGCATATATTAAAAGACTGAAAGATCCCAAATAATGACCTAATGATACATCTCAAACTCCTAGAAAAAACAAGAACAAGCAAATCCCAAAACAAATAGAAGGAGAGAAATAATAAAAATAAGAGCTGAAATCAATGAAATAGAAACACAAAAAAAATTCAAAGAATTAATGAAACAAAAAGTTGGTTTTTTGAAAAAAATAAACAAGATCGACAGACCCCTGGCAAACCTGACTAAAATGAGGAGAGAAAAAACCCAAATTAGTAGAATCAGGAATGCAAAAGGGGAGATAACACAAACACCATGAAGTCCAGGAAATCATCAGAGACTACTTTTGAGAACCTTATATTCAAATAAATTGAAAATCTTAAAAAATGGACAGATTTCTAGATACATATGATCATCCAAAACTGAACCAAGAGGAAATTAATCACCTGAATAGATCTATAACACAATGAAATTGAAAGCAGCAATCAAGAGTCTCCCCAAAAAGAAAAGTCCAGGACCTGATGGATTCTCTGCTGAATTCTATCAGACCTTTAAAGAAAAACTGACACCAAACCTCCTTAAACTATTCCACAAAATAGAAAGGGAAGGAAAACTGCCTAACACATTTTATGAAGCCAGTATTACACTTATCCCAAAACCAGGCAAAGACACCTCCAAAAAGGAGAACTATAGGCCAATCTCCTTAATAAACATTGATCCAAAAATCCTCAATAAAATAATGGCAAACTGAAATTCAACAACACATCAAAAATCATTCACCACGACCAAGTAGGCT